GCTACTAGTAACAAAGGCCGTTGCTGCTAGGAGCAAGAATGGATGATCATCTTCTTTGCGGCTGGTTCTTCCATCTACAATGCTATGGTGGGTGGATAGGTGGGTGGGCAGGCGGGTCGGTAGGTCGGTAGGTTGGACGCGCAAACCTAAACAAAAAGGGGTTTGACTATAACCACCTGCCCCTACGCACGATCATGCGCATAGTAGAGCCGCACGACCGGGCGAGCAAACGGCACACAGCGAGCATTGCTCAGTGCTGGCGCCTAGCAAGCCCCGCACGCACTTCCTATCACTGTCTCTCAATTCTTCTTCACACCAAGCTTCTGCATCAAGTCAATGGCTTTTCTCTCAAGCGACCCACGCGGTGCTTGGCCAAAAAGCTGCACTCCTCCATCTTTCACAAGCGCTGCGACCAAGGCCTCTTCCAGCGGCTTGTATTCGTCTGCCAGCCGCAACAAAAGCTTCTTGCGCGTAGAGATGCGCATGTTCTGCACTCTGCACAGCTTCACTGCTTGCGCTAGCCATGGATCCTTTGGCGGACGTTCTGTCAGGAAATCATCAACCAGCTGCTGGAGCTGAGCGTCTGCATTGGTTTTGATTCTGATTGCCAGGAGCAGCGCCACCAAAGCATACTCGTCAGTTACTGGCCTCTGGCGCGATCAGCGTGGAGAGTTCGAGCGTGCTCGCAAGTTTTGACAGCCCCATGGTTAGCCTCAAGCTTCAAGGTTGAGTACGCCGTGCTACACAGCAAACGGAGGCCGCCGCATTCGAGCACTAGCAGTTCTCGTTCAAGGTCAGACTTGCTGCTGGCCTTGGCCGGAGGCCCTTCAGCCCTTCAGCAGGACGACCCAGGTGAGATGCCCACTGCTCAGCCATGGCACCAGTAGCGGTCAAGCCCAGCTCTCTGAAAAGACAAAGGCAGCAAATGTGTGACCACATGGGCTTGGACCTCTTGCAAGCTGCTGAACTGCGCATCACAACAGCACACGTTGGGAAGCTGAATGATGACACGCCGCGCCGTTGCGCTACCACTGGCTCTGCTGTAGTACCCTCGCAAAATGCTGTGGAACAAATGGTTTCGCACCACTTTTTGACTTGCCAGTATTGCCTTGCAAGCACAGCACTGGTTGCTGACAGTGAGTAAAGTTGCCAGCGACCAAACCTGCACAGTGTGGCTACTGCGGTGTACTTGGTGGACTTTGAGGGCTCGAAAAGTTGCAACTCAGCGCCGCAAATCTGGCCATCATGTCGCAGAAGTCTGCAAGTATGACGTTCGACATCCTCTGCAGCATTACCGTCAGGCGCTGCAGCTGGCGGCGGCAGGCACCCAGGCGGCAGAACTGCTGCTCTCAAGAACTTGGCCTTGAGGACTCGTGGGCCACAGCGCACAAACACATCGCAGACTTCAGGATCTTGCAATAAGAGCTGGGGCTGGGCAGCTGCAGCAAAGAGCAACGCACTCAGCCAAAGTCTGCAAGTCCTGCGCCAGCTGTCGCATCCATGCATGCGTAGTCGCTGGCAAGGGACTCCAGGCAAAAAGTGTACAGCAAGCTTGTGTGGTCAAGCTTGAGGCCTCTGCGCAATTTTCTGCCACCAGCACAATCTTTCCATAGCCAACGCAAGGGAACTTGGAACTGCGCGGAGCATTTTCCCACACGGACTCATTGCTGGGAGCGCGGGGCGTGTCACTTTTTTCACACGCCTTCCCTGCAACACTCTGCAGCCGACTTTGGCCAAAGTTCTGTCAAGGACTGACGTGTCTGCCGCGTCAACACCATTGCAGCCAATCCACTGTGAGCTGCCCCGACCACCATGCTTCGAAAAATTGCTTGCCGCCATCGGAGCTCCTGGCAGAGACCAAAAACCTCGCGGTGTGTAGTATAGGCTGTTTTGGCTGCGCGCACCCGTCGCGCTCGCTCATCACGCAGTTTGCCGTCATACGCCAGGAAAGGTCCCAGGTACCTGGCACGCCGCTGCACCTTACCTGGCACAACGTCAGGAATGGTGAAGGCATTTCGCAAGAGTGTGTGTGTGTGAGTGCCTTTCTGCCGCCAAAGTAAGGCAACACTTCTTGCTTGCTTTCATTTTGCGCAAAGTCGGCTGCCAGGTTGTGCGTGAGCTGCTCACTTGAATGGCGGGCTGCGAGGTGCAACTGGAGAGCGGCGTTGGCACAAAATGTTCGGGCCACATCGTCTGCATAGGACGTGAAGGACACATCCAGAACTGCTGGGGCGGCATGTGCGGGGAGGCCAAAGAAGTGCGCGGTGATTGCCAGGCTGCTGGAGTTGTCCAAATACTTGTCCAATTTGGGGTGGTACCCAACCAGGAACCACGGGCCAGCAACGCTGTCGCCTGGCAGAGCGCCGCTGCCGGTCTGCTGCGTGGGCTGTCCACGGTGTGGGGATGGGCGGCGCTGGCAAAATTGGCAAGATCATAGAAAGCTGCGGCGTGGCTAATCCTGGCTTTTTGCAAGCGGCGCCGTATAGTAGGGTTTGTTGGAGAATGGCTTGTTCCCGCCGTCCATTGGGAAGGTACCCTGTGGCGTAACGCCTGCTGTATGCTTGCGGCGGCCGCTTCCAGACTTGGGAAAAATAGGCTTTGCCCAAAGACTCCAAAGTGTGAAAGTGTGGAGAAGCCGTTGTCCAGAAAGCCCTTGTTTGCCGTTACGCTTAGGTGTTGTGAAGGCACCGGTTCTGCGCCAACTTCGCGGGGTTCTGCCGGACGCGCTGCAGGGAAAGACCATGGTGGGGGCGCGCGTCGCAGCTTGGTGTAATGCAACACTCTGCAAGCGCGATCTGCTGAAGCTGCTCCTGCTGCAAAATGTGCACTTGTGAGGGGTGCACAAGTGGTGTGTTCAGCTCTGGGCAGCGGCAACGCCTCCTTTTGGGGGACGGCCACGTTGCGCTTTTTGGGCCCGACCCGGGTTCCACCCAGCAGGTGCGAAACCTTCCAAGCTGTGGCAAAATCCCGCTTGCGCCGTGCTTCTGTGATTTCACGCTCGAGTGCGTTTTGGCGCGCACGCCACCGTGCCCTCTTGATGCGGCGGACTTCTGCTGTGGCTTGCTGGCATTGCTGTGTGACTTGCTGGATGCGGGGGTCATCTCGGCGTTGTCACACGTGGCTGCTGCCAGGTCTGGTCTGCTGCTCGCTGTTGGGTGGGGGCGGCGGGCTTGCAAAGAATTGCACTGGATGGCGTCACGGAGGGTTTGGCGCACGCCGTCAGGCCCCTCGGCTTCGGCAAGCTCTTTCCACTGGACACGAGCCACAGCACCTTTGATTCCACCGCACTGACAAAGCCTGAATCGCATTGTCCTTGCAAGCAGCGGGCCAGTTTGTTTGTCATGATCCCAGCGCACTGGCAAGGTCCTCTCCTCACCACACTGCAACCGCACATGCACTGTGATGACCGCTGGGCGGTGATCTCTCCGGGCAGGGCAGTCAATGATTTGCAAGGCATCCCCGACTCTGTTCCATACTTCACATGTCTTAACTTGGGAAGGCAAACTTTGGTGCAAAATGATATATCGGTGCAAGAAGTACGGCCTCCATCCATTGTTAGCATAGAAATTGGGACTACAAGGAAAAAAGTGTTGCTAAAGCAAAGAAAGCGCCGCTCCGCAAACCTGCGCAGTAACGTGCCATTCTGGTTCTCTGGCGCTGCATTGGCTCTTCCGATGCTTGGTGTCGGGCTGGGCGTGTACACATGCTGGGCCCCCGTACTTTGTCCAGGCCCAAATGGGCGTTACCATCCAAAAACACCAATGGCACACACCGGTGCCCTTGCGCAGAAACCACTTCACACATTATCCAGCGACAACTCTTTTCAGAAACGCGTGGTTTGGCGCCCTTGGGCGGCAAGTATGCCACAATGCCCAAAATGTCCAGCTGAGGTGTTTTGGGCGTAGCAGCACCCACTCGTCCTTGCTCACCACTCCAGTGTCCCCGGAAGTGCTTCGGGCTGATGCACCTGCGATGCACCCATAGTTCCAGACCTGTGGACGGCTCATCTTTGCTCCGCTGCAGCCGGGCGAAGGGGCCAAGCCGAGTCTGTTGAATACAAAGGTCATGCTTTCGATTGGCTCCCACCAAGCCAACAATGTGGCAAGCCCGGAATTGTTCCAAACAATCTTGGTCTCTATTGGCCTGTACCATGGACAGAGGATTGAAAACACAACATCGGAGATCACCCATGGTGTGAAGGTGTGAAAACAAGGCAGCGGCGGTGATAGTCTGCAAAAAGGCATGGGACCATCAACGGCTGGTCAATAACTACAATGGTTCGGTAGGGTAGGGCGCCGGGGTATGCTTGATACCTGAAGCGCCTTTGACATCAATCTCGCGCATACGCACACAATTCTCCGAAAAACTGAGGTCCTGACCCGCTAGGGGGTACCGGTTCTAAAACGTTTTTTCAGGAGGTAGGTAGGTAGGTAGGTTAGGTAGGTAGGTAGGTGTAGGTAGGTAGGTAGGTAGGTAGGTAGGTAGGTAGGTAGGTAGGTAGGTAGGTAGGTAGTTAGGTAGGTAGGTAGGTAGGTAGGTAGGTAGGTATATAGGTAGGTATATAGGTAGGTATATAGGTAGGTATATAGGTAGGTAGGTAGGTAGGTAGGTAGGTAGGTAGGTAGGTAGGT